CCGCCCCCCCCCCCCCAGCAGACCAGGGAGACGGGGAGCAAATCCGTGGAGCACTCCCGCAGCGGGACAGCCCAGGCGCGCCCGGGCTGTCGCGCTGCGGGCGTGCTCTGCGGCTTTGCTCCCGGTCTCCCTGGTCTGGCCTGGTCTCCCTGGCCCGCTGCGGGCGTGCTCCAAGGCTTTGCTCCGCGTCTCTCTGGTCTGCTGGGGGGGGGGGTACAGTAGCGCCGAGGAGGGAGACGTGGAGCAGCTTTTCTCGCCCCGGAAGACGGGGGCGGCGGGACTGCAGCGCATCTGGGCGTCCCGCCGCTCCAGTCCTCCAGGGCAAGAAAAGCCCCGTTCGTAACTGTGGATCCGACATAAGTCAGATCTGCGTAACTCGGGGACTGCCTGTATATGGTTGTGACAATTTTCTTCCACTATTTGATCTGAGGAAGTGGGTCTGGCCCACGAAAGCTCATCATCTAATAAACCATCTTGTTAGTCTTTAAAGTGCTACATAGTCCTGTATTTTGTTTCAGCTACACCAGACTAACACAGCTACATTTCTATCACTAGTCTACCCATATGTGGTCTTCAGCAAAACGCGGTCTTTGAGACCATGTCAGAGAAAAATGCTGCCATATCTGGCAAAGCAGCCAGAGTGTCCCAGTCCCTGATGACAAGACACTGCCTTCTCGTTTAGATCCCACGTCAGAATTATGTTTCTCAAACCAAACCAAGCCATACAAAACCCATTGTAAATGGAGGGGTTTCCATACAAAAAGGAAACCAGCATTTTCTCTTGGACCTAAACATTCCCCGGCAGCGTTAGAAACCAAACCAATGGCACTAAGGTAGTGCCTACGGACCGCAAAGTGAAACTGACCAGTCTAGATTGAGATGTCCAAGCTGCGTGAAATGCAGAAGCAAGGAAAGAGACTGGGATTTTCAAAAGGGTCCAAAGGAGTTGGGTGCTGGAATGCCATTGAAATGTAGGCTGTAAGCAAGCAGAGCCTGAACATCAATGGCATTCTCACACCTAACTTCCTAAGTCCTCCTTGTAAGTCCCAAGCAATTTAAAAAAAAAAAACTTCTATTGGGCTTGTCTGCCATAGCTCTGGAAGCTCTTCACCCAACTGGGCGAGGTATCAGTATCTCAACTTCACAGGTGGGGAAACTGAGGCACGGTGAGTTGGTGCATCTGGGCCAGTCCATCACAGTGAATCAGTGGCAGAGTCAGAACCCAGATCTCCTGGCAACACACCCAGCCACCACGGGACATGGTAAAAAGCAAAACTAGAGTTAAAAGTACTTTTGTGTGGCTCAGTCTGGTCCTTTCTCTATACCATTGCAGTGCCCACAGGGATGTTAGTGCGTGGCATGCCGAGGGACTAGCCTCACAGCTGGCCTGCCGTGTGTTAATTCAGGCGCTGCTAAGCAGAGATTTAAAAGGGCTTTGGTCTTAGTCAAGGCCATCACTTTAAAATAAAAATGGTTCGTAGCAAAGCAGCATTTATTTCTTGGTGCTCCCCACATGGTTATTTCTAGGTCTCTCTCTTCAGGTCCAGTGTCTCATGAGCAGAAGCTGTCGGAAAGCTTGGACCTTGCCTTGACCTCCGCGCTCAGCTCTATGCCATCTTTTACAGCAAGGCTGACAAAGGGCCAGCTGCCGGCACACAGCGAGGGGGGCTGCAGCAGTTCGTGGAATGCCAATGCCCTCGCTGGTAAGCAGCAAACCGATTGGTTTCACTTTTGGCATTCAGAAGCCACAGCAAAGGAATACGGCCATGGTAGCCTATAGGCTTTGCCGTAACATAACGACACTCAGAGGTTGGCTTGTGCAACACATTTTTTTGTTTTGTTTACTTTTTCCCCCCTTTTGACCTGAAGAGTAGTTTGTAAATCTGCCCAAAGTGTCTCCTAAAAATCCCTACTTACCAGGAACCATCTGAGTACCCTGGAGCCTGTTCACCCAATTCCCTGGCAAAGCACCTCTGTGCTATTCTCTCCATTGTACAGAGGAACCAAAGGCACAGACCGGCCATGTGATCTGCTCATGCAGAAAAGCCTATGCCAGAGCGGAGAGTTGAACCTGCATCTCCCGAGTCTCAAGTCAGCACTCTGACCACTCAAGTGTCCTTCCGCAGATGAATGTGGCTGTTGCCCAATTTCTGTGTCAGAAATCAGCTGCTAGGAGCCAGCTAGTGCCCTCAGAGAGGATGGGGACCATGTGCAGCTCCCACAGAGATTGCATCTGTCTGAGCTTTCACTAGCAGTGTGTTGTACTTTGTTACCTTTTAACGCTACCACCATTGAGATGGGACCTGAATAGCCCACTCTAGGGATTATGGGCATGAAAAGCTAAGCGGTATTAGAGAAATAAGCGAGTTCTTCATTCAGTGTAGTATAAAACCTGTGCAAATGTCTGACTGAGACCGAGATCTGTACTCAGATTCTAGAGTTTGGAATTGGGGGTGATTTTTAGCTTAGACAAAAGCAAAAATTCTTTTGCTCGCTTTGGTGGTACCCTACTTCACCTTGCTCTGGTCTTCCCAAGCGGTAATGCTAGGACGCAAGAGAAATGCCCTTGGAGTTTTGATATGGTAGCTTGTTATAAGGAAAACAGGGCCTGTTCCCAAGATAACGTGAGCACATGCAGCTCCTGCTTCTTGTGCGTGCCCCTGGCTGCTCGGGGCTGGTCTTCTAGCCTACGTCTAGCATCTTGTGCCAGCGGTTGGGGTGCGGGACAGGTCCCATTTTGCCACAGTTGCTGTAGTATCCTCCGACTTGCCTGAACATTAACAAAACTCTTTCTTCTCTCAACTTTCCAGAGCACAATAGCAGCCCAGCTCAAGGATGTGCTTCCTGTAATAGAACATTTTCTTCTTATTTCAAAACGGAGCCTGTTTACCAGCTGCCGTGTGGCCACCTCCTGTGCCGCCCTTGCTTGGCCGAAAAGCAGAAGTCTTTATCGATCCTGTGCATGAATTGTAAAAGGTCAGTCTCTGCTCATGATGTGCTGCGGGTCCACTTCTAACTTCCTGCCGGCGGCTTTTGAAATGGCTGGCTGAAAGGCCCCAGGGGCAGCTGGAGCCATCCCTGTGCTCCTTGCCTGCATTGAATAGTATCAGGATGCAGTCCTTTAAGGAGCTTGCCGGAGGAGCGCACGTAATTCTGAAGAGGACTTGTCGTCTTATGCTTACAAAGCAGCAGGGAGGTTAGAGCACCGCCCCAGAGCAAAGCGTTACAAGGATAATAAAGCCATACGCTTCTTTAACAAGGAAAATGTATTTATATGAAACTGACATCCCTCCAGTCACGCCCCTTCACTCCACCATTCCAGTGGCTCAGTGGTTAGCATAGGTGCCTTTGGAACCGTGAGTTTAGCTTCCCTGTCATTTGAAACCATTTCAGTATCTGACAAGCGGCCGTTCAGTCATGGGCCCTGTGAAGTCCTTGTGATGGAATCCATGCAAGCTACCCAACTTCTCCCATTTACTGACCCTATTCCCTGCAATTTCCCAGCGGGGCTAAGAGCACATAAGTCATCTGTTCTGAAGACTAGTCTGTAATGGAAAGGGGCTGGAGTTAGTACATGAGTAACTCTGACAATTATCTCCTTCTGCTCATACAAACTGTAGAAAAGCCATTTTGCATCACACTCTGTTCGTCATGTGACCGGACCAGCTCCCGTCTGGCTGATAGACATGTAAGCCTTAATAAAACTACGGTTAAAGTCAGTTACTGTCTTTTGCTACATAATTGGTCTCTTTGTGAGTCTTCCTAATGATCTCGCCTTGTGAGTTTCTTTTCAGAGCTCAGTCTAAAAGTGAAGGAAAAACCCAGTCAATACAAAGGAATATTCTCCCTAGAGCCATATATTTTCAGGTGGGTGATCACAGTAACCTACTCTGCGGTCGATCCAGACTTTAAAAATTGAATTTCAGAGGTGTTAATCCAAGGGGCTGCAGTTTTCATATATTTGCTGTGAAAAGGCATTCAAGAAAATTACCTGGATATCCTCGATCATGGTCCTATCCGAGAGATGTTGGGAACAAATGGATATTGAAGGGTCTTGTTAATATTATCTGGGGGGAAATTTGCACCAAAAAATTAAAAATTCTGCATGTAACACAATATAATCACCAGTTTCAATGTTGGTAGTTTTTCAAAATATCTGTCAACAAATATGTCTGTAACAATACAGACAAAAAATCAGGATTTTTTTGACAAATAGTAAGGAATCTAGGTATATTAATACAGAGCTCTGAGTAATAATTCGTTTAAACTACACTATGGAAAATCCCAATAGCTAGTCAGCATTTCCTAAACCTAAACACATGAAAATTAACTCACAAATACTTGGAAACCATTCCCCTGCATTTCAGTTATAATTCTGGATTTTCATTTACATTACATCACAGAAGCCCAAACAGCAAATTGTTCTGCTTTTAATGTCATTTTAAATTGCTCATTTTAATCCCCATCAAAGCCAAAGAGGATGCCCACAAAACACGTCAGTTCACTTTCCATGAAGCCCTGCATAGACATCATCAGGCTGCTGAAGGCCTGAACTCGAGTGGGCAGCCCCCTGCACCCACGTAGTTTCTCACGGCAGGGTCAAGGTGTAAGTTACCCTAAAACAGGAGAGATGGGGAGGAAGGCAGAGAGCAGGATAGTCGGTTGAAAGAATGTATCAGCTGAGTGGGGTCTCTTCCCAAGAAGGAGTGAGCGGGATTCCTGCTTCTGTGAGTAAACACATCCCCAGATCCACTAAGCTGCACCTCCCCCCTCCCCACCCTTCTTCAGGGCCCCCACCTCCGGTCCTGGCCCCAGAGATTGTTCTTCCCTTAGCAGCTCCTTGCATGCTCACGCCCCCCCTCCCTCAGGGCACAGCTTAATGCCCATCTCTCCCTTCCCCTGGAGATGCACTCCCCTGCCCTGGGGGACTCTGTGCTCCCTCTGTCCCCCCACCATCACTGGGGTTCCCTGTGCTCCCCCTCCCAGCCTGACTTCTTCCTTGCCTGCCCCACCTCCAGAGGCAAGGGAGGCATTGGGGCTGTCTCCCAGTGGGGCGTGCAGACCACTGGCTGCAGAGAGATGGTCGATTTCCCGTACTCTGGGTCATTCCTTCCAGGAATGGAGCAGCAGGAGGCCGTGTTACGCGGAGCCTGTGATGCAACGTGAAAACAAGTAATGGGCCCCCCACCCACTTATGCCCAGATTCCAACCCCCTCTCCCTCACTCATCCTCCCCAGCCAGACAGTCTGCCCCCAGCCCAGACAGCATTCTTACACGGCTCTTTGCTCAGTCTGTTGCTTGTTCTGAATTTTGATGCAGTTTGGCTCTTTGGTTTGAAAAAGACCCCTGCTCTCAATTATACTTGTGCAAGTCCATTGTCTTCAAATCCTTTGCAAGGATGTAAGTGTTCCGCTGGGTAAAGCTTTCTAGGCACAAAGAGGCGGCACAGCATCCAGCTCCTTTAGCCTTAGCGGTGTTGGCTCGCAACTCATTCTTTGGCACCGAAATCAGAAGGCGGCCGAGAGGAAGGGCTGAATAAGAAGTTGTCAGTTTTATGCACGCTTCAGTGCTGAGCCTGGCTCTTAAGATCCACAGCACCAAATGCTGGATCTAAAGACATTTGAATTTCAGTGTCTGTATTGTTCCTCCAGTCACCATAACTCCTTTACACGCCTTGCTGAACCCTTGTCTCCCCAGCTAGCACCCTGTTGAGCATCTGCAGTCGCTTTCACTTTGGATTCCTACGCTGTGCTTGCTTAGACTGTAAGCCCTTTGAGGCTAGAGTCTCTAAGGCTGTGTCTACACTGACATGAATTTCCGGAAATGCTTAAAACGGAATACTATTCCGTTTTCAGTTTTTCCGGAAAAGGAGCGTCTACATTGGCAGGCTGCTTTTCCGGAAAAGCATCTGTGGCCAATGTAGACGCGCTTTTCCGGAAAAGAGCCCCGATCGCCATTTTCGCGATCGGGGCTTTTTTCCGGAAAAGACTACTGGGCTGTCTACACTGGCCCTTTTCCGGAACAGTGTTCTGGAATAAGGACTTATGCCCGAGCGGGAGCAGAATAGTTTTTCCGGAATAGCAGCTGATTTTGTACAGTAGAGCATCGTTGCTTTTCCGGAAATTCAAGCGGCCAGTGTAGATAGCTCGCAGCTTATTCCGGAAAAGCGGCTGATTTTCCAGAATAAGTGGCCCAGTGTAGACACAGCCTCAGTGTTATTGGACCCAAATAACATCCTACCACTGGTAACCTCACTCCTCTGTCCTCTCTGAAATCCTGGCAATAGAGCAAATACCTAGGTCGTGTATCTTTCACTAAGGTCCTGGGCGGGAATAACTGGAGAACATAAGAACGGCCAGACTGGGTCAGACCAAAGGTCCATCCAGCCCAGTATCCTGTCTGCCGATAGTGGCCAATGCCAGGTGTCCTAAAAGGAATGAACAGAACAGGTAATGATCAAGCGATCTCTCTCCTGCCATCCGTCTCCACCCTCTGACAAACAGTAGCTAGGGACACCATTCTGTACCCATCCTGGCTAATAGCCATTAGTGAACGTAACCTCCATGGATTTATCTAGTTCTCTTTTAAAATCTGTTATAGCCCTTGCCTTCACAGCCTCCTCAGGCAAGGAGTTCCACAGATTGACTATGCGCTGTGTGAAGAAGAACTTCCTTTTATTTGTTTTAAACCTGCTTCCCATTAATTTCATTTAGTGGCCCCTAGTTCTATTATGGGAACAAATAAATAACTTTTACTACTTCACTTTCTCCACACCACTCATGATTGTATAGACCGCTATCACATCCCCCCCTTAGTCTCCTCTTTTCCAAGCTGACCCAGACAAGCCCTACCAAGCAAGTTTCAAGTGGGCAGCATGGAGCGTCAGGTTAGGGTTAACTGATGGTCCGACGTAGTTCACAGTGACCGAATGAACCACCTCGAGCCCTTGCTAGCTACTGGTGAAACTCAGTCAAATTAAGGTGCATTAGTTCACTCATCAAATAAAATGGCTCTGACCGTTTGGCAGCATAACCTGCTTGGTAGTTACAGCACACCAGTTATGTTTATTACGAGGGATCTCACTCGTCCCAGGGCTGTTAAGCAGCTGTCTCATCAGCAGTCTCTGCTTGTCTGTATTAATGGGACAATTTATCAATTGCACCTCAATTTAAAAAGGTTTTTACCTATTACTCTTCTAAGTGCTGTAGCGTCCAAGTTGCTCTAATCTTTCTTGAACCATTGTGATTATTTCTGGTCTTAAAATCTATTAAACTGATGCAGTTCTTTTATCACTGACCCACCGGTATCTAAACATATTACCAAGGCATTAAATCATGAAAGTGTCTTTCTCCCTCACCCCTGTTCCATTCTGAAGGGACTCTTAAAAAGGAGGGATTTTGTTGGTATTACACTGCTGGAGGCAGTGTGTCTGGCCAGCGGACAGGAGTGGGCTGGAGACAGAGGGTCTGCCCGGGAGCGGGGTGGGGGGAGAGGTGAGTGAAAGGGTGGGGAGGTGAGATCTGGGCATGGAGAGTGGGGGGCACTTGTTTTCGCTCCACATCGTAGGTAACGTGTAACATGACCTCCCTCGGCTCCCAAGCCTCCAGGAAGGGTTCGCAGGTGAAGCCTGCGAGGAAGTGTGTACTGAGGGCAGGCTGGGGTTTGTTACGTTCTGAAGGCGCTGAGACTTGCAGTTACTCCGTTAACAAGATGAGAAAAATCACTGTCCTTTCTGTACCACAAAGAGAATATTAAAAAAATCTGTCATTTTAGCATACGTATTTTGTGTTTTGAACAGTTTAGTGCACAGTCTGGTCAATTTTGTCATTCCACCCCTTGTGGCCAGAAGTAGATCTCTGGCACCCTGCCTCAGTTTCCCCCTTTTGACTCTTCAATAACTCTTAACTGGCTTTCAGGAGTTCCATGATGACAGTCCTTTGTGGAGCCTGGTTTGTTAATTTGAAGTTCAAAATAAACACAAAAGAATGGTGGACCCAGCCTAAGCTGCTGAGGGCTTGTCTTCACTTTACCTTGAGATCAATGCTCTGGAGATCGATCTCCCAGGGTTTGATTTAGTAGGTCCTTACTAGACTGGCTAAATCAACCATTGATGGCACCGCTATTGACCCTAGTACTCTGCTGGGTCACGGGGGAGTAAAGAAAATCAACCAAAGAAATTCTATGAAGTGGGGACTTTGCAATAATTTGACCTAAAGTACATTTACTCCAGCTAAGTGTGTCATCTGAGGAAGTGGGTTTTGCCCATGAAAATTCATGATACTAAATTTATATTTTTGTTAGTCTGTAAGAACCATTAAGTGTTTTAGTTACAGACTAACACGGCTCCATCCTCCAGATATGCTAGTCTCGTAGCTGGAGTTGCATCTCTTAGGTCAACTTTCTCCAGTAGTTCACTAGGGATGTGAACAGGTAACCAGTGCCCAGAAACAGTCCCCTGGCCACAGCTTGCAACATGCAGAGGGTGCCACAGCAGGGCAGGGATCTGGGAGCAGCCAGGACCAAGCTGGCAGCAGCTCCTTGGGGCTGGAGCTGGATCCCGTTTAGTTGGTTAACCAGTTAACTAGTTAAATGTTAGGTCACATTAACATTTAACTGTATAGTTGGGCCTTTACATCCAAGTGTACACCTGGCCTGAAGTTACTTTGCTTTTCTGTGTTTCATTTTCCCATCTACATAACGAGTGATGTGGTTCCTGATT